AGGTTCGCATTTGATTACAGTAATTTCCATTATCCGGCTAACACGCACAAATTAGATTTCCCTTTTTATTCGTATTTATTATTTACAAGGAAGACGTGTTATCTATATGAAACGTAAAATAGGATGCAAAGACATATGAGAAATTCAACGGATATCATTCTCATTGATTTTTGTTTAGAGAACATTCTTTGCATACTATTACATGTGTCTTCCATTTCTAATGAATGTATACTAATGTACTATCCTAGGAGATGTATGATATTTATTTTTTGCCTAAATTTTATCATGTTTTTAACTAAGAGTTATGATGCATGATTTTTTTGCTATATATATATATATATTATTTTTTTGAAATATACTACCATCATTAAAACTTTTACAGATAAAATAATTAAATTAGTCCAACCTCGCCTAATTTTAAAATATTATAAACTGCGTTGAGTTATAACCCAAATGGATCGAGACGATCCAAATTAACAAGCACATTTCTTAATGATTTTTCTTTTAGATATTGTATGTATTTTTTTATGAGAAAAAATTATGCTAAAATAAAATAAGATTATAAATTAAAATAAAACAATTTTATATAAGTTAATTCATATGTATGTTTGGTGTTGCTTAATTATTTTATCTATAAGTACACGAAACAACTTACTAAATTTGTAATTCCTTAAATTTACATGTATGTCACAGGGTTTCTGTCTTAGAACAAGTAGTTCACATCTTCATAAACATGTTTATTTAAAAAGTTTATTAAAAGTTAAAAATAACTTCCAAAAATATTATAAGTTATTTTAAAACTCTCTCCCAACCAAGTGTTTATGTTATAATTAATATAAAATAAATTTAAGTAAATTATTAATAAAATTTTACAAACTTTAAAATAAATTTGAATCAACACTTGAATTTTGTATAAAAGATTAATTAATTTGCATAACATAATAAAGAACTAAAAAGTTCAAAAATTTATTAAAAGGGATCTCAACATTTGGTTTTATCATATATACTTAAAAAAAAATACTCGTGGAAAGAAATCAACACTCTCGTTGAATATGCATGTAAACTTTATATGTCTATTAGTATCATTTTGTCAAACCATTAATTCCAAGCATTGTATCACCATGGTTATCATTATCCTTTTTATTAATCTTTGAAATGACATGTCTATACTTAACTCTTATGCCACTTGTACTGCCTATGAATGAAGTATAAATAAGGTAAAGGATTTGAGCAACTTCAATCTGCCAT